TCAGTTTGATTATCTTACAGCATATTTAAAGAATTTGCACCCTGCAAGATAATTTAACTGCTGAAGAGCACTCTAATTAGTTTTTAGGAGTGAATAAGAATAACTCATAATCAAATCATGAATCCACTGGCTGTGTAAGCCTTTGCGTCAATTTTCAGAAATAAATCACAAGAGTGAGATGGAAATCTTTCACATGCTGGTCTTCCTGGAGATTCCAACATTTCAGGTTAAACCAAGTCAATGACCTTTTGAGAAATGTTTAATCACTCAGGTTTGAATGTCCCAGAAATCCTGTGCGACTGCTTCCTAGAAAGCATTTACATTTCTGGCATTTAGTTGGTGCTCTTATCTAGAGAGACTTACAATAGGCCGCATTTTAGTGTCTCACTCAAGGGTTCCTAGCTTGTTGTTGTGGGGATCAGACACATGACCTTTTGGTAACAGAATGCATAACGATTCCCTAGCTGACATTAGCTGCAGTACACAGAAACAATGGATAAATGTTTCTGCAAGTGTTCTCTGGTCCATTAGGAGCCTAAAAGGAAGCCTGCTCTAAATTACATTTTTTCTCACCCCTGTTGTTTTATTCCACATTTTGGAATTATTTTCCATATGAAAACTCACGTTTCAAAATGGGTTTGTAGAGGATCTCATGAGATTTGCTATACTGCATGTTTTTATGAAAAATAAATTGAGATGAGCTGAATACTCAATCCATGGATGCAAGAAAATCGAAGCCAAGTGACTGTACAGTGTATGAATTTGTAAGTTCCATCTTATAATCTTATAACTTGGTAAAAAATGATACTGTCTTCTTTCTTTTCAGCAAGTTCCTCAAGGCTGGAATCTGCCCTAGCATATATATATATGTATATATACACACTCCCACTTGGCATTGCTATGGAAAAAAAAAAAACATGAGGTGAGAGTGTTAGCCACTGTCTACCAATTCACTGGAAACAATATTAAACAGTGTTAAAATTAAACACTCAACTCCCTTAAGACAAATAGATTCATAACTCCAAATTAACAATTGAACAAAAGAAAGCGGGATAAGAATTATATTACAAGAAATAATGCGCATAATGCATTAGCACTCAATAATATTTGCGTAAAACTGTTATTGTGCAATGTACATTTTGATCTATTACACAATTGAACAATAAAAATTTTATTACCTAAGGCAAAAAAAAATGTATTTTGTGATATTCACGCATTGTTACTTAATTCTAGGATCTGCAACAAGAACTTATGACTAAAGTTTTAGAGAAAGAAAATGCAGCACAACACCAAACAAATCATTCTACTCTGTTTTGACATGGCTTTGGTGATTCTCTCTGTTGCGTCAGTTGATCAGGAAATTGAAACAGCAGTGTCTCTGTGACTTACAGCTGCTGCTGACGTGACAGTGTATTAGATGCTTTTTAAGCGTACAGTAAAGATGTGATGTGAATACGTAACAAGGCCATCGGACACAAAGAAGTTGCTAAGCCAAGCATATACAGCCACTACAACAGTTCTGGGGTGTCTGCAGGGATTGAACCCAAGGTCAGAAAGAGTGCTGAGACTATACACTTTGACTGCATCATCTTACGTCAGTAGCACTCAATTTATACCAATGTTACACTGAGCTCCTTTTATATTTGACCTCAAACAGTTTTTCAGCCTCTTATCAAGTGTGGTTTGAAACTAATAACATGAAACCCATTCAATCGTTAAGTAATATCAAAGTAATAACTTTAAAGGATGTTAGTGAGGGGAAATTTCACCAGAAAATATCCATATAAGTTGATTGTGCAGCAGCTTATTACGACCCATATTTACGTTTGTTAGGTTGTGGCCTCTAGTAGCGAAGGAGGAAGTCAGGTGATGTACTATAAAGAGCAAAGTGAGGAAGGCCGCTTAAGGAGGCTGTTTGGATGGATGGATGGATTATATCACTGCAGGACTTTTTCATCAGTGAAACACTGAGTGAAACACTTTTTATTTAAAGTTAAATCAAATGAACACAGGACTTTCACACATGAGGCCGAGGTTCGAGTCCAGTGTGAAACCAAGTCATGGTCGACTTATTCTAAGTTAAAAAAAAGTTAACGTAGAAGTCACATGAGAGAAGTCACATGAATTACATAAAATACTTATTTTAACCCAAACTCCAATCTTTTCAGTCACATATGTCATTTTGGGACAATCAACCTATTAAGGTATGAGGATGTGTTGCGAAATATTCATGTTCATGTGCACAGACTTTTAAGAACACTGCATAACTTTTGTTGCAAATACTATGGAGCCATTTTGAAGCTAATTCTTGCATTGAAAGGCGTGTTTCAAAACAGTAACAAATGCATACATTTTTTTTTTAATTTTTAAAAAATTTAAATTTTTATAAGAATTATAGAAACTTTAATTTGAAAGGGGAACACTGTCTGGCCAAAGTTCAATTTACCATTCTCTGCTTTTACCATCATCTCTCCTGTATTTCCTTCACTATCAGGCCCCTCACCCAGTGCTTGAAGTGGGACGGTACGCATCGGTATGCAGTACTGGCACCTCGACATCTTACTTGGGACTTCTCCCAAGCGCACGGATGCCTTTCAAGCAGCCGCTCTTCAATGTCATTTTTCGTGAACAGACTAATCACAGCCTGGATGGGGCGGGGCATTTAAAAATATTGACAGATAGGTGTCATTTACACTGGGGACGCTGGGGACATGTCAGAACCAGAATGTCACCATCACTTTTTGAAAGCTTTTGTTAAAAATGTTCTGAAAAACAGCTTGCAACAAGAAACGTTAAATTTGTTAAACAAATAAAACAATGCCAACAAGAAAAAATACAATGCAATTGAAATATAGAATAAACAAATGCATTGTCCAAAAGCTGATTACTGCATAATATTCCTTTATAATATTATATTCTCATATCACTTACCACCTTAACTGTGTTTCCCTTTAAATAAATAAAGACATTTCCCCCATAAATTGGTGCAGAAAATGTCTCCCGAATGCAGGAAATTAAGTATTTAATGCTGAAAGTCATTTTTATGTTATGATGTTATGTTTTCCACTTCAAGCACTCCCTTCACTATTTCATCACCCTGTCTCTCTTCACTCTATCTTTTCTGTTTTGGCCAGAACTAACTGTAATGACAGGACCAACTGTCATGGCTGTACCACAGATTGGTTCAGTCGGGCTGTAACCGAGCTTCTCGCTATCCTGACCTCTGATAGGAAATGGCATCCTCCACACTTTCTAGGCTTCCACATTTGAAGCTCTGCCAAAACTATGCCACCAAACAGCCACCGTGACTGGGAGGGAGTGGAAAATTGCGGCAAATCCACTGTGGCATTCGGAAAATAGCCTATTATGTCTGAGGTTTCAGATAAAACTGTGAAAATTCCCTCAATACGCTGTACAAATATAAGAGTGGGTGAACAAACAAACAGCTAACAGATACAGTCATAAACCAAGTGCAGAAGTCACTGGACTGCAAGTGTAGGTAATGATGGTAGGTGTGATGAGACTTAATGATAATCACTATACTATTAAAATAAGCCCTTGCTGTAGATAGAAGTAGGATTTTTGTACAATTGTTATTACTCAAGAAAAACTCCATTTACCCTGTATTTATTTTTGGGGCTTGGAAAAGGTTGTAAAAGCCCAACACTGATGTGTGAAAGCCTTGTTCACAGTAAATGAGCTTCCATTAAGCCCTGTGGCCTCTCCTCCCCCCACTGTTCCACCACTAATCATTGCCTGACTGTGGTTGGTGGTTGTCTTGCTGGTCCGGGTGGCAGCCTGGTGGGAGGTCATGTTGGATTAGAAAGCACCCTGTGTGATATAGGTTACTGCACTGAACTACTAGCAGGGTGCTGGGGTGCGGGGGTGGAGCATGCACAACACATAAAAAGACACATGAGTCACACCAGTGAAAAGGTTCCTGATCCATGTACTGTCCTGGTGCTGAGGATTGTTTCCTTGCATTACCAGATTATTACCTGATCAGTAATGTTGTGCTTGTTGCAGATAAAAGCCTCAGCTAAATTTTAAACTGATCTTAAGAAAAAAGCAACTGCTAAGAAGCAAAACATCACTTCATACCCACACCACACAGCCTGGTACTACATCTGTTTTTTCTCCCAGGAGAGCATTTTATCTTCTTATTACATTAAACAGATATAGATCTGGCCATCGGAGGGCACTACGATGCAGAATGCCTCTCATTTGAGATTCAGTCAGAACTGAAATATGTCTCAGTGAAAATCAATCTCAAATGAAAATATTACTCATTAATCAGTGCAAACTTGTGCTTCTCGGGATGACTCATATTGTCATACACTTGAGTCTAGTTTCAGTCTGACTCCCATTCTGTGTCTCAGGCAGGTGTTAGTAGTGACAGACAAAGATTATTTCCCATGTCTGTAACCATGGCAGCCACAGAGAGAAAAGTCGTTTTCTGATTTTGAGCTGCCCAAAAAGAAAAGAAACCTAGATCCTAGCAATGACAATTTTGCACTTCTTTACATGTGCAACACTAAAACCAATTTGCCTCAGACTTCATTAATATGACCCTGTTGTCATGACATAAGGTCAGCATCTATCTTGCTTCATTAAGCCAGAGACAGATTTCATATGAGAAGTCTTGCAATGACAGTCAGGGGTCATTTTCCAAGCAGGTTTGCATGAATAATAGATGGCTGGTTTGGCAGATTAGGAGAGGTCGAGCCTCGGAGGAACAAACAGCTGTGTTGTGTGTGAAATGTGGGATACATGTGGGCAGAGCAAAGGGAAGATGCTGGAGAGGCTGAATTTTTAAACCTATTGCAAGTCCCTCCAGGTTAAAAAATATGGGTACATGTGACAAAACTCCAGGGTTAAGTTTGAATCACCAGAAAGTGAAAAATCTAAACCTTATAGCTGCACTCTCACTAACTACTGTCACAAAAATTACACAGTGTTAAAGATTTCAAATCTGTGCATTCATTTTGAAGTACATCAAATGGTGGAAAAGTAATTTGAACATTTATTTTTCTATGCTTGTAAATTTCACAAACACATGGCCACAGCACACTAGTGACCCATTTACACAATTACAGGTGAGAGATGACAAACTTTACATTTGTATGAGGAGTGGCAGTGTCACATGACCATCTGGACAGGAACAGTGTTTTACATATCCACGTATCATCTCTAGAGCAAATCATAAGTATAACTTTATATATATATATATATATATATATATATACACACACACGCACGCATGCACGCACACACACACACACACACACACACACACACACACACACACATATATATATATAATCTTCATAAACATGCATTGCTTTTAACATGCAAAGTAATTACAATGTTACACTTTGCATTGAGGCTTAAATAAAATTAATGCTAACTTAACAGACTCCCACTTGGCAAGTGCAAAAACTCAAATAGCTATTTACAAATGCTCTTTTACAGATCTGTGCATCTTCTGCTTGGTCGTTATGCAATCAATCTTTGTGGATTTGTTTACACCTGTATTAGCCTCACAAGTACCATTATCAATAAATTAAGTATTTCAATACAAGATGATATACATCCATTTTAGGTAAAGAAAGAAAACAAGTTATAATTATTGTTTCATTCACAAATAATGATAGTTGGCTTTTTTTATGTAAAGATAAATGTAATAATAATAATATTATTAATAATAATACATAGTTTTCTTCTCAGCAATCATGGGTAAGATTCACAATTCTCAACATTCACTTTGGAATTAAACTTTTTGAATATAATCAGATCAAGAAAGAACTCATGGGAGTGAAGTGGGGGATTGATAATACAAGATAAGACGTGAAGATAATCACAAGTATATGGACCAGTAAATCACATTAAAGAAGAGGAAGGAGAAAGGGAAGAGGGCTCGCGAGTACAGGTCAACTCTTTTGGCAGCAGAGGGGATGACTGGTTTCGGAGGAGGAGGTTTCTTGTTGTTCTTGGCCTGGGATTTTCCATGACCAGAGCTGGTATCGATGGGCTTCCCGTAGCAGTCAAAGTTCGACAGCTCAAAGTCCCGTGGGAGTGAGCCCACAATGCTGAAGTCGTTGGTCCGCAGGTCTGATTTAGAGGTACACACCTTCTTACAGCGAGTTTCTGCCACCTGGCCGCAAGAGAGTAACATGGGCGAAAACAGAATTGATTATTAAATTCAGCACCATTTAGCATTTATTATCAACTAATAGTCTGAAAGTGCTGCATGGCCCCGGAGTCAGTGTAACCAAACCAAAGTGGTTTAAAACTGAATGAGTACACTGGGATTACTGTGCATAGATCCATTCACTCTTACTAGTGCAAAGACTATTCCATCCTGGAGAATAAATATTTTTTATAATATTATCATAAAATAATATTATTTTCAAGAAAAATGTTGAGTGAATACAGTGGTCCTTAACTTTACTGTAACTGTTACTCTCTCTATTGTAGACTGGCATTCAGTACTTTTTAGGTCTATCAAAAGAATGAAATATATTAAGCAAAATTAGTCAGTTGCTGATGCCCACACCCACATTCCCACCTGTCCTTCTTTCCCTCATTATTCAAGTGTACATAGTAGCCTCTTTTCCCTCTGTCTTTGCTAGACTGTCTATTGCGCTCAGTAGCCTTCACGTTCTAACACTTGTCTTAGTTACCTGCGTTCTTGTTTATGCCACCTGCCTGCTCCTTATTTGGTTTTGTTTACCTTCTCTGATGTTACCGACCTTTGCTCCATAACCTGACCAATTAAACATCCTTTTAATTTCACCTGATCTGTGTCTGAGATCTGTTTTTGAGTCTGCACATCTGGGTCCTGAATTGTTACAGTTAATTGTAATGCCACCAACAATTAATTAAACGTTTCATCGGGTCATTTTTCTGTCTGGCTGCAAACATTACATTACACAAAAAATCTTTAAATTGGCTAAAGCTCTTTTCACTGGTAAAACAACAACACCACCTCAATTAAAATTTACTGTGAAGAAACACCCCAAAACAACCTTGTAAACGACATGCACAGTTAGTTTTTATAAAAAAAGCTTGGTAATATTTTTATTAGACTCATGCGGCAAAAACTTGCTATAGGCTTCTCATCTATTACACTATTAAACATGATCCAGTTTGTGCTTGGTCAACATCCATGCCCTCTTTTACAGATTCCTTGCTTGTGGACAACTGCACAAATCATCATGTAGAAACATTCCAGATTCCGCGACGCTACAATCATACATTAGCAAAAGACAACTGAATTCTCTACTTTCTCTGACTGCTGTATAACACATAAAAAATGTGTGTATACAGTAGTAATGATGTCTCTTAGACGTCACACCCACGCTGCAGGTAGGTTTCATCTTAACTGTGATGAATATTTAAATGAGGCTATTTGGGATTTTTGGACTAGATCAATTAACAGACTACATTTTGAAAACCCCGTAAAGGAGCTGTAATTTGCTTTGTGCTCTACAATCTTGCCTAATATGGTTCCTCTCTCATTTGGGGGGGCTTGTTACCCCTCCACTGCCTCTGCATACTATCACAATGGACAACTGGAGCTAGTGCAAAACAATCTGCAGAAGGATGTAGTTTAATGTCATCCAAAAAATCCCTTTCATGAACTTCCCTGAAGGCCTGCAGGGTGAAAAGGATCTAATCAGACTATGGCTGCTTACTCACTGAAGTCATTAAGCTCATTAAAGCTTCATTATTTTGATTTGGTCCCATTAAACCTCAATGGAATAATGTAATCCTATCAACCAAATGTGGTCCAGACTAACATAGACTTAGAGCTAAATTAATTTCAATTAGGCACACAATTGGAAGACCCATACAACATACTGAATACCTGATGTGCATGTGTGTCAGGCATGAGTCATGACTGAGCTGTGTGTGCGAGTATGTTACAGACAATGCCAAAATTGAATGATTGGATTTCCGTGTTTTGCATTTAGATTAGATCTCTATGCCTAACTGTTACTGAGGAGGTTGGATCTGGAATTTACATTTTGTCATTGTACTGTCTTACTGTAGGTGGGAGGTTACTTAACCCAGACAAACAAACACTTACACAAAGCAACACAAAAGCACCATCACTGAAATGTTTTGGTGATTAACTACAGCTTCAGCTACAGCATATGTACTGCATATCCATAGTCCTATTTTTATAGCCTATATTACCTCTCAACTATACTGCTGTATATGTTTTGTCCTGTGCAATTTTATTTATTTCTATACTATGCCGCTATGTCCTGCTGCGACCTGTTCAATGTTGCATATCAATCACATCTGTACATATAAGGTTTATATAGTGTACATTTAAAGAGGTGGTATTATGCTTTTAGGCTTTTCCCCTCTCCTTTATTGAGTTATATATCTTTTTTTGCATGTAACAGGTTTGTAAAGTGAAAAATCCCAAAGTCCAGCCCAAAGGGAGTTCCCATCTCACACAGAAAGCTCTGCTCTGAACTGCTTGAAAACAGCTCGTTTGTAGTCCAGCCCTTCACTTCCTTTACTGTGATGTCCTGGGCGGCTGCGACTCAGGAGGTAGAGCAGGTTGGCCGTTAATCAGAAGGTCGGCGGTTCAATCCCTGGCTTCCCCTGGTTGCATGTCGAAGTGTCCTTGGGCAAGAAACTGAATCCCGAATTTCCCCTGCCAGCTGTTCCGCCAGTGTGTGAATGTTAGTTTCCGTTTGAGCACTTAGGCTCAGTGTGTGAATGTAGTGTAAAAGCGCTTTGAGTGGTCGGAAAGGCGCTATACAAATATGGAGCATTTACAATGAAAACGCCTCATTAAGCTTTTCTCCACCAAAAAACAAAACAAAGTTGAGGAGCTCCGCAAGTGGCTGCAGGGGAAGCCTGTGCCAACCCGCGGGAGGAGCGTGTGAGGCCGGCCAGCCGACCGCTCACAAAGCCCTCTGCTCCCACTGTCACACAGACCGCTGCAGCAACAACGGCAGGTTTTCATACCGCTTATCTGTCTTTACATTCTGAGGAATGTTGAAACATTTAAATTAAGAAAGCTGTGTGGATCGCTGGTGTGTGTGTCGCATTGAACATTACGTCGCGGGCAGTTCGGTGTGGCGTCACTACGATGACCAGCCACGTACTATCTCTGAGTACTATCTGTGGGTACTATCTGCAGTGGAAAACGGAGCAGGGCAGAGTAGAGTCAATTGATTTGCGCTATGGTAGCATTTTTGGGCAAGGCAGCATAGATCGTCAGAACACCAGCAACAGTTCAACGTTTTTGTTGTAAACGTTGGCTAACACAGCTAAATTTATAATGTTACACCTGATGTGAAAGCTACTGAGCAAACGTTCAAATTGTTTGGCCAATTTTTATGTAAAATTGAGTTGAAATATGGTGATTTTTGCAGTGGTTTATGGTAAGATGTGGAACAATGATGTTGTGTGGTTGTGGACTTGTGAGTAACTTATACCATCTGCTAGGTTACGGTCTCAGTCTGAAGCGGCTTTGATTTGGATCACACTACCTTGTTTCTTACGACCCACCCTTCTCTGCTTCTGATTGGCTAGTAATCCTTACCTGGGAACTGCGCATGTGCAACCCCCAACAAAGATTTTGTACAAGTAAGATGCATCACTCTGTAGTTCAAGAGCGGAGCGAACAACACACAGGGTGAAAAGAGGAGCTGCAGCAATGTGCAGTATGAGAAAAATATGGTGTATTTTGAAAATTAAACCATGTAAACCTGTTCTGGTAGGTTTCAGATTTTGAACCTGAAAATGAGCATAATACCACCTCTTTAACTCTTATTCTTATCTGATTCTATTATATGTTGTTGTGTTATATTTGGAACTGTTGTAACAAGGGAATTTCCCCAGAGTGGGATCAATAATGTCTATCTTAACTTATCTTATCAAAACACAAGGGGACATTTTTTATGCTTTGATTAGGGATATGAATGTAATAAATTACATATTAACATTTTTAAAATGACTGATAGTGTGCATTACAAATACATGTTTTTAAATTTTGGTTATCAAGTTATCAAACCAGATCCACTGACATGCAAGGTGCTGACGTGAAGCGGTGTCCCTCCGGTCCCGTTGACCGTGTTGTTCCTGGCAGCGGGGCTCTTTCCCGCAGCCTTCTCCTTGGATGCTATTTTGGCCTTCTCTGCCTCGATGCGCTTCGGGCTGTTGAGCATCACTTGAACCACTGCGTACTCCACCAGCGAGGCAAAACCAAACAGTAGGCAAGCGATGAGCCAGATGTCAATGGCCTTGACGTAGGACACTTTGGGCAGCTCTGAAGCCAAGGAGGTGCACTCAGAGGACAGAGAGAGCACCGAGAGAATGCCTACACAAAGAGGGAAGTAAGTAATATTGTTACTCAGCGTCATGAGAGTAGCGTCATGAGAGTAAGTTGGATGTCGAAAACTTGAAATTGTCACTATCCATGATTAATATATCTTTCTTCTAAACTTTCTGTAAATGTAAGGCTACATTGTGTAATTTTGATACTATACTGAGCTATATTACATTATTATATTATAATACCAAACCAATAGTATTTTGATATCACACTTTGAGGAATTATTATGTTGTGAAACAAAACCCATTAGTCATTTAACAAAAAAAGCACATTTTCTCAAATGCAATTGTTTTTCTAAACACAAGCAGCCATATCAGAACGGACACATCTTGGCATGTGCTCTGGTTCATCATCTGACCTGGTTAATCATCTGACAGAGTGTTTGTCAACATACACCACTGAATTAACACAGTCCTTACAGTCTAGATGTGTGTTTCCAGTGAGGAAAAGCATTTAATCTACCTAATTCTGAAAGAAAAAAAAATAGTTTAAAGCACAAAATACTGAAGAATTGAGTCTTCCAGGAAGCACAAAAGTTGTACTAAAATGCTCACATCCACGCAGGGTTTCTGAGAACAGGACAGCAATTAGAAATTTATGACCGTTCCTTTACCTCCTTTATTAGGACATCTCCAAGAGCTCAGCCTCTAATGATGCTGATGATAATGTGATTTTAAATTGTTTTTAGCTCTGATAGCTAACAGGATTACAGGTTAGAGGTTTCAGGCTACAGCAGAAAGAATTACGACGACTCTTTGGAGGGTCTTTTAACCACCAATGGAGGGCTTAATTCCCCTTCCTGTACTGTAATGATTCTTTATAGAGATAATAAACACAATGGAATGACCAATGGGTCTTGCCTCTAGGCCCCGTTATGGTCACTCATCAAGGGAGAGTTTGAGAAGGATTCAGGATTTCTAATCAAACTGCTCCTTTCTCGCTGGAATAAAATGTTAAAGAGAGCATCGTCATCCTGGAACTCACCTATTATCCATGAACAGAGAAAAACATGGAACACGAACAACATATAATTCTGTGATGCAATGGTAAACTAACAATTTTTACTGTAATAACTGCTCACATCCTTTGCACTGTGTATACATGACCACACACAAAACACACATTCTTAGTTAAACAAACACATGGATGCATTTGCACAAGTACATGGACACATAAATACTAACACACACACACACACACACACACACACACACACGCACAGCACACAGCAATAAATGAGAGTAGTCCCACACATGGGTACTGACTGACCTGGACTGATCCCATTTAGAGAGGAGTCAGAGGAGGCTTCCGGGAGGAGTTGGAGTGATGATGGGATGAAAGTGGTGATAAACAACTGGAGGAAGGATGGACAAAAAGAGGAAGTGGACGACTGGAGTGGGCTAACAATGGATTATCTTATCAGTGCAGCCCTGCATACACAGAGGTGCCCCTTGATTCAGTATGTGGGTGACACTGACATTACAGGTTGAATTATGGAGGGGGAGGAGAAAGTAATAAGTGGAATGGACATGTGTAGTGTGACCCTGCATATATGGGAAATTTACAACAATGGAGAGAACTAATTCGTCGTCAGTTACATAAGAATTTAATCTCCCTGGGGATGTGCAATTCTTTGACAAATTTAAGTCTGTTTTTTTTTTTCCTTTTGTAATTGTTTGCTTTCCAAAGTGTATAGCCTTTAGCACATACTTAAAATACTGCTTGTAAACTGTGCAAATAATTGTATATTTGATTTATAGTTTACGCTTCATGCCAAACAGATGTCAATTGGGTTCCAATAAGAGTTATACTCAGTATATTTATAACATTGTTACATTGTTTTCATTTGATATATGATTTGAAAATTCTTTGTTTGCTGTTTTGTAACATATGGAAATTTTCAGGGGTACAAAAATAAAGTAAGAACATGGTGAACAATAAAGATGCAATGAGGAGAGTGTGCTTTAATAAGGTGAATCTGAATCTGTCTTCCATTTTGGACCAAATAAAGTACCTTTCTGTCCCTTTTCCATCATGCAAGGCTAGGTGAAACTAGGACTGTGCCAACAAGCCACACTGTAAGGAACAGGGACATTAGAGTCTCTTGTCTGTGATTTATTCAGTGCGTAAACAAAAACACAACATTAAGCACTACCAGTACTGAACCATTCTTACATCCCCTCAGGGCTCAGTCTAATAGTCTAGTAATCTAGCTGGACCTTCTTCAGGAAAGACACATTGTGTGCCTCTCTGGTTTGGAAAACAGCATTGCTCCTCATGCACCTCAGTACAACCCTTCATTAATTGGGTTAATAGGGATCAGGTGTGCCTCGTTGGCCAGCTGAGAATCTCCTGGATCTCACTGTCTCCTGAAAAACCCTTGTTGCCTACACTGATTAACATAAGGATTTCTTGTACTTATTTCTTGTACTTATTTCAAAATGTACTTAATGTGGTTAAATGTTGGCAGTGGATGTGGCTAAACAGGCATTCCACATTAGGAAAAGTGGCATGGCTAGAAAACTGAATCCAGTATTTTAGACATTTAGGAAACTTGATGTACTTGAGTATGTTGGTAGCTCACTGACAGACGTGAAAATAACACCAACTTGTCATGGGTTAAATTTTGGTCTCACCAATGACAAGGAAAAACCAGCAAAAACTTTAAATATGGTCTCATGTTTATTATATTGTATTGTTGAATGTATTCACATGTATTTAGACCTACACTAAATACTAAAGCACTACTGCGGTGGGCCCCATCTGTCAATTACAGCTATATTCAGTGATTTTTCACATATAGAACGACACTGGACATGACACTACGCTTGATAGACAGAAGTCCTTCATGGTGTAAAAAGTGATTGACGGTGACCCAATTGAGATGATTAGGGCCATAATTTCAGTTCTAGTGCAGATCCAGAAAAAAACATAAATCCTACAGAGAGATTTTATTTTATCTTTTTTCCGCATGGCTTTTTATAACAGGAGTTTTCACACCTAATTACCTCAAAAATATACACACGGTCACCCAATCTTCTTTTTGAATTAATGACAAACCATTCACTCGATCCTGGTTGAACAGTGTACGGAATATTTTCAGATCAAGTGTGTTGGTAAATGCCAGTGGAAGATAGTGGAATTGATCAAATTATCCGTACCCAAAGGGACCCTGGCGGCACTCGCATCAGGGTTGATCCAGAAAGACAGCCAGGAGAGGACTACGATGAGCAGTGTGGGGGCGTAAACACCCATCATGTAGAAGCCAACCTGTCGCCTCAGGGTGAAGATAACCTCTACACAAGTGTAGTACCCTGAATGGGGAAGGAGTGGGACAGTGGTCAAATATGATAAAATAACTTCAGTGAAACACAACAATTCAAAAATGAGATGCAAGCATAGAGTAGGGTGTATTGGCATCAGACCCAATGTGCTTTTTGTTTTTCAAAATCCAAGGTTGGAATCTTTGAAGGACACACATGAGGGTGGGTCTACATAGTAACTGAGTGTGAGACAGTAAGACTGTCTGGTCTAACAAAAACCAAAAAGAATGATTCAAGTCCCACCATTATAAATAAGCTACCTTTGTTGTGTTACGTATTTGTAGCAGTTCATACACTAGTGAAACCACATATAAACACTGTATAACGCTCCTTCTAAATGAGTTGAATTAAGTGTTAGTGTTAATATTGGACTTTGTTGTTATGTTAACACAATGGGAGATACTGACGCTGTCAATTCAAATAAGTTGGCCCATTATGACTTATTCAATGGATATATAAGGACTTTAACATCATTTTAGCTAACTTTGTTAAAGTTGAGATCTGTTTGAGCACCCAGGGCAGCACCCCAAAAGCCTTTTTCTAGATTTGTACTCTGCTAAACCGCTAAAAGTTTAAGTGGATAAGAACATGCATCTGTTTTCAGAAGGTTGTCATTCCTAACAGTACAACATACATTTCCATTCATATATAATTATTCATAAATAATTATGTTTAACAGATCCATCTCTACTGGGGTTCATAAATTGGGCTTAAACAGTATGGAATAAGTATCTATCTACTTCAGACCTCCTACAGCAGTGTTGTGTTTCGGTCGGTAGGTCCAATGGGATGGCGGAGTGGATGGGCTAAAGTAATATTTAACTAGCCCGGGGATCTCTGGGTGAGCTTTATACAGCATATAAGGGCCGCCTGTGTCGCAGAGCAGGCTCGAACCAGTCGTACACAGAGGTGATCTTTGTGTCTGGCCAGGTTGCCATGGCAATTCGTTAAAAGGCTGACTCATTGCCAGCAGTGTGCCTCCCAAGTGCGAGAGCACTGAGGTCATACCAGCTCTTTTGGCTGATAGAGATTTTCCATTTCAATGCGAATGTCATTTTGTACTCACATTGGTCTGAAAACATGTTTGTCACAGTTTTTATTCTATTTCATAATAGGAATATTCAGTATTTTAGCCCTGTCAGTATCCTGAGAAAAAGACCAGTGAGAATGTTAGCGTTTATCCCAGCTACCCCCACCTAACATCCCTAAAATATGTACCACAAAGGTAAAATTTTATAATGCAAATCAGATTTTCCATGCAAAAACTGACTTGTGCTTCCTGAAAATACAAGACACACTAGATAACTAACTAAAGGGTTGAGATGGACAGGTGAATACATTTGGCTTCAACTATTCCACTGAGCAACAGTTGGTGGTGGTAACCAAGACACATAGTAATGTGCGAACAGAAGCAGGGGAAGAAGTAAACATGATGGTAGGCAATGCATGATTTAAAACATTAAGAATGTGGCTTTGCAAATGTTTTATGAGAAAGGAAATTCATTAAACACTTCGTGTTAGATCTCAAGGATACACACAGTGCGTTTTGGTGGGTGACAACGAATGTAAAATTAGCTCTTGTTTAAGCTTTTGAAAACTCCACAGGGTACCTATAATTTCTCAATTTCTGCGAACATTAAAAAGGAAGGACACTTTTCATCGAAGAGCAAAGTTTTTATTTCACGTGTTGCCTCTTGTTTTTCTGTTTTTATTTTAACATAAACTAAATTTTACCCCAGTTTTACTGAGGTGTGTTTGTCCAAACTTAATCCTTTAAGTTTGTATTGATATAAATCTGATACTTCTCAAAGAATGATAGACGTTGAACTAATGACATTATTGAGTACTGAATTACTGATATGAGTTACACCAGTAGTTTTTCTGCTAGGACAAGAAAAAATATCTGCCATGACGAAGTTCTATACTTTGAGACTTATTATGTGCTGTGTTTTTTGATCTGGCAATTATCAGTTCACTTGAACAAGAGCAGAGGGTATCATTTGGCATGACTGTGAAAATTTCAAAATCCCTGGACAATCATTTCAGTTGACTGTATGATCATAAAACATTGCATACACATCTTTGCTCTCTGTTGCTATCTTATATAAGACTGTGAACCACACTGTAAAATAATCTCATCTTTACAATATTGTACACTATTGAGGTGTTACAATTTAATTTCCTTGAACAAATGATAGCAGGTTGGAGTAAAAATATTTTGACCTTTACCAGTAAGATGGTCACACGACATTACTTTTTGTCAGATAAGAACATGCAATTGAAGCTTGCTCGTTGCTGTTAAGATTTCATCTTTCAATCAACAGGACCAAATTAATCTTACATTAACAAAAAGAACTCATTATCTCCTGACTTCTTTCACTAGGAACCTATAACACTGTTTGTGTGAAGGCTACAGCCAGAGGGATAACTACCCACGACTACACAACTAAAAGAATTTTCAACTAACAATTGATGTACCATAAATCCCAGACCAAGATCACAAAAATAAACTTACTGGATTTATTGGTCTGATGATTATCAGAACAAGCAACAGGTCTAAATTTATATATTATCAAATTCAAAAGGGAGGCTACTTTCAGCTAAAATAAGTATTTAAATGATTAAATAACTTTTTACCTTATTAATAAGCATTGTAACTTGCTGTTGTCACGGCTGTCGCTGTCACCTTTGTGTTTCCCCTTTTTCTGTCTCACCTCTACCAAGTAGGCTGTGTCCCTGGGGAATGAAGACCCGCCTACTTCCTGGTTTCTGGGGTGCTGACATCAGTCCCGCCCATTGGTTCCCTCTGTTTCCACTCAACCAATGGCTCGTCACCACATTAATTACCTCCTGCTCATAAGGAGAGTCCACCTGTTGCTCCGGGCAGCTTGTCACCGCCTATTGACTTGTGTGCCGCTGGTATTGACTGCATACCCTGCCTGTTAGTTGTACTTTGTGTTTAGTGGAACTATCCACATTCCTTTCTTGCTAGCTGTACATTGTGTTTAGGAAAACCATTTAGCTCCACATTGGGTGCAGTGGAGGAATTCACTTAGTGTTTTGTTTACTATTGCGTTAGTTTTCACCAGGTGGAGTGGGTGCTGTGCTCTTTGTGTTCTTTTGTAGCAAGAATCAACTCGGCTTAAATAGATAGATAGGTACAGGCCTCCTTTTGAGGACCTTTTTATTTTAACTTGGTTTGTTATTTTCGCAGCACCCTCGTCCACCCTCCTTTTGTTTATCGTTACCTGTCTACATCTCTCTGTTACCAATAAAAGTTACCTTGTTAAGATCTATACCAGTTGTGCCTATATGTTTATGGCCCCCACTCCCCTAGACCAACAGGGGTTGTAACACTGTTTAAAAATATGTAAGACAAAAATTATTTTTTTATTAAGGACAGTACCTGTTCCTGCATAGAATTTGGTGCAGTTCCCATAATCAATATCTTCCTGTCTGATATCAAACTGTGGCAGAGCGATGGCGTCCATTTGCACTGGGTCTCCTGTCTGCCACATAAATTGCAGGTCGTCTGTGGTGTAGCCAACTGGATGAAAGAGGTACAAAGACACACAAAAAAATACACATATACATAAAATGGATGTGTATTGGTGTGTTTAAACCAAATCCGTGTGTACACAAATGCAAATATACATAGTACTTTATACACTCACAATATCTGCCTGCGTGTTAAGCAAACTCACAAGTAGAAACATACAATCAGAGTCCAAAATACAATATAAATGCACACAGACATGCAGAAAGCTGAGTCTCAGCAGTCGGATTTAGCATTAGTGGGAATAGACTTTTATGATTTTGCTTATATAAGTCTAAAGTGCTTTGTAAACAAGATGCAATTACCACAGTCAAACTCAATTAGCTGTGAGATTTTCACAACAACCTTAAAATATGATGATTTATTCCACTTCTATGTTCGCTATTGAAATTGGCTTCTAAACACAAGCAAAAGCTTTCATTTACCCCAAAACAACGATTTTATAAAAACAACAAATATATTCCCAACTCATAAATACTGTATCTCCCAAATAACAACAAGCAGTTAAAATCCAATAGAAATCAAATTTAGTCATCCCTTTATGTACTCAAAAATAATGTTGTGGATTTTCTTATGTAATGTTAATATTTTTTTTTATTAAAAGAAGGAAATACAGTCTTTGGTGCTATAGTCTACATGTCATTTCAGATAGCAATTTAATTTCAGTTGGACTTCATATGATGAGGCGGTTTAAGGTAAGGAAAACTCACAGCTTTCAAGTTGCATTTTACACCTCTGTGTGTCCATAGGGAACAACGTCAGATCCAGAGGACAAGAAAGGGTGACGGACAACCTGGAGGAGGATGAAGAAAATTCTGTTTTCAGTTTTTTATTATGTCCTTTGTTATTCTCTTATATTCACTTACTCACACACAGAAGCTTTGTTAGCATGGCACTTATGACACACGTATTGCCTTCTCATAGGATTTAAGGGTTTATCCTTATGTCTCTTTTTTGAGAGGTGCATTTCTATGGGATAAACACTCAAAATTACAGACAAATTCATAAGGATTATCTCTGGGAACAAGTGAAACACAACAAAGTGTAGCTATAGCCCCAACAATATAGCTCCTTGGAATATAAAATCTTTTGGTAACTTTCTATGAAGGTCACTGCTATAATGACTTATGCATATATTTGTAACACGATATAATGCTTCCATAAGACATTATAACAATTGTTATAATCACTTACAAACATGCATTAGGCGCTATAGCAAAGTTCGTAAGTCATTATGACCTTTTGATTTAATGTTTTATAACTAGTAGTAATACCAGTTTATACCACTGTGCGCCCAGAATCTCCAACCATGTTCCACAGTACGTTATAACCATCAACTCTGTCTCATTATAAATACAAGACATCATGGCAACCGCTCCAAAAAACGAGCACGTTGATTTTTTTTTTTTGGCTGCAATGTAACATTAGCTAAATTAGTAACAGAGTAATGTTAATTAGTTGCGTGTCATAACTACCTAACTTATCGAGGAATAGGAACATCAGGTCCAAGCTTAACTGGTGTCTTGTACACATCCTGATAGTTAAATCATATTTCAGTTTCCAGAGTCTAACAACTGGTTGTTAAAGGAACGACGCTCGTGACCGCGGAGGAGCTAAGGCTAGTAAAGTAAATTAGGGATATAAATTAAACTAGTCCTTTAAAGCAATTGAGGAGATGTTTCTTTAGGATTTTTTTGTGCAAATTAAATTCTTAGTAATTATGCATCAAGATGGATCACTGCCCTCTGAATTTTAATCAGATCGAATCGTGAGGTGCCAAGAGATTCCCACCCCTACTGCCCAACCAGTATTCCCATTCAATTACTTTAAAATGTTCTTTAAAAAGTTTTGCGGAGTAGTTGCCACAATGTCTCCAATTGGAGACAACCGCTTCACAAAACATATTAAAGGACATTTATAAGTAATTGAATGGGAATACTGGTTGGGCAGTAGGGATGAGAATCTCTTGGCACCTCACGATTCGATTTGATTAAAATTCAGAGGGCAGTGATCCATCTTGATGCATCTTTTTTTCTATGTGATTTCTGGATAATTACTAAGCATTTAATTTGCACATTAAAATCCTAAAGAAACGTCTCCTCAATTGCTCAAAAGTACTAGTTTACATCCCTGATTTACTTTACTAGCCTCAGCTCCTCCTGGTCACCAGTGTCCTTCCTTTAACTATCAGTTGTCAGACTCCCCTGGACACTGAAATATAATTTAACTTAACTATCAGGATGTACAGTATGTGAACTGGACACCAGTTTAGCTTGAACCTGATGTTCTCATTCCTAGACAAGTTAGGTAGTAATTATTAATTTAGCTAATGTTACATTGCAGCCAAAAAATAGAACAACGTGCTTTACAGGGCAGATGAGATACAGACTTAACGGACACACTGTGGTTTACACTGCACATGTTCTTACAACCTAGTAAGAAAATTAATCAGTGTAGCGATGCGGACGTGGAAGATTCTGAATTGATTATGAATGAGAGAAGTGAGCAGCAGAACGGCGGGGGAAGTTACTTAGTAAGTTGTCAGTCTGGCAGAACATGTAGGTCACAGACTGTCTTAAGTCTGTTGTTTCTGCAACTGCTGAAAACGTGAAGGCGGTTAGCGCTATTTAACATGTCCCCTGTGAAGCAGGTTTTTGGCTGCAATGTAGCTAAATTAGTAACGGAGTGATGTTAATTAGTTGTGTGTCATTACTACCTAACTTGTCGAGGAATGAGAACATCAGGTTCGAGCTTAACTGGTGTCCTGCACACATACAGTAACTTACATCCTGATAGTTAAGTTATATTTCATTTTTCAGAGGAGTCTGACAACTGATTTTTAAAGGAAGGACACTGGTGAGCAGGAGGAGCTGAGGCTAGTAAAGTAAATCAGAGATGTAAACTAGTCCTTTTAAGCAATTGGGGAGACGTTTCTTTAGGATTTTAATGTGCAAATTAAATGCTTAGTAATTATCCAGAAATCACATAGAAAAAAGTTGCATCAAAATGGATCGCCGCCCTCTGAATCGTAATCAGATAGTCGTGAGGTGCCAAGAGATTCTCACCCCTACTGCCCAAACAATATTCCCATTCAATTACTTTCAAACGTCCTTTGATACATTTTGTGAAGTGGTTGTCTCCAATTGTCCACTGCATCTTTTAGGGCCTGTCCATAGGCTCGCCTTTCGTCTGTGACAACATCTTACATGATATTATATAGTCTGCAACAGGTCTTCTCTTGAGCGATCTTGCGCCACCCGGAGAATGAGTGTCCTTGATGTAATTGTGTTTTTGTGCTAAACTGCAAAATGTTCAACATCCATACAGGTTGTTCATAAAGTGAAGAAACATAAATAAAAGTTGTTTTCCTGCGCAAAATGTGTCACTTTACTTAAAGCAAACAATTACGTGTTATAAGTTCTTATAATTATTATATCCACCTTTAATATATTATACAGGGATGGACATTTTAACACTTTACTTAAAGCAAACAAAGACATGCTATATAACATTAAACATTACTATTATTCCATTTTATATCACTAATTCTAAATTGTGACTAAAGTGTATTTATAACGAGTTGATGGTTATAAGAGAGAGAGATTCTTGCCGCACATTGATATAAACTGGTATTAGTATTAGTTATAAAATATTAAATCAAAAGGTCATAATACGTTGTGAACTTTGCTATAGCGCCTAATGCATGTTTGTAAGTGATTATAACAATAGTTATAATGTGTTATGGACACATTATATCGTGTTATAAATATATACATAATTCATAATAACGATGCAAGGACAAAAATATGGAAAACCCAGGGAATCCTTGCAAATAAGGGAAAATAGTTTGTAATTGATTGAGATTCATTACCTCATACTGATGAGGACGTCTCCATTACGGAAAATGAAGAGAAGAATGTTCTCCTGGGTAACGTCGTGAAAGTTGGCGCTCTTCTCGTTAGCGAAGAACAGGTCAGGTTTCCAGAGACATTTGAACATTTTGGGATCAACAGTGAGAGAATCAGACTTGAAGTCCTGCGGAAGCTTCAGCCTGGGGTCGTTCCAGCGCTGCCGGAGGAAGATGTTGACTCTGTAATCCTGTTCGGTACAACAACAAATAAGCACAAACATGGTTAATATCTTTATCAAGTTAGTACTATTGGACACAAGTTGGGTGCTTTTAAAATTTACCACAAGGGAAACTTTCTGAATGGAATTATATTAATGCTTATTTTATATTTACATTTTCTATGAAGCTGTAAAAAGGAAGGAGCCCAGGTGGATGGATGGATTGTGCTCTGGTCAAGATCCCTCTCAATTACACTGCAGGACATCAATAAAAGCATTCTTTATCCCTCTCATCCCTCTAAAACTAATGGTTCAATGTGCAGTTAAAGAATAAGAGTTAAAGGAGCACCTTTCCTACACTGCTTTTAAAGCAACTGTCACTTAGGATACAGCAGGTATAACTGACAGGTTTTCTTTTAGAATTTTTTAACTCATTGACAAACAGAATTTTCTCACAGCAAACATCACCAACAACTTCAACAGACCACTTAAGCATGCCAAGTGACATTTTACAGCTGCAGCGAAAACACTCATGACATCTACTTTTAAAGTAGTCAACTTACAGAAAGCTGTTTTGTCCAAGGGACAAATGTTATCAATACAGAAACATGTGATACGGCTAAGACCTCATTAGAAAGTTAATTAGTTAAATTTCCACATTTTTGTTGGTGGGAAAGCATTTGGGACGTTTTGTTGTGCCTGCTTTGATGGTGTGCCTCAAGCTGTTATAGGACCAGGTGTTCAGAAAGGACTATTAATGCTGAGGGTGAAGATGATGACATGTCAAATAAAGCTGCCAAAATATCAGCTATATGTATGTGTGTGTGTGCTCCTGGGTATGAAATTAACTTCCATCTGCCATCTTCCTTCGTTGTTCCCAATATTTATATTAAACACTTTTCTGCACTCTGGTGTTATCAGATTAAAAAGGGTGTAATCTTATATACTGAGAACACAGTGAAAATCACCTGGAAGAAATGACAAAGACTTTGTGTTAAACTACTGCATATGTAAGGATTGTTTATCCTTTGGCAAATCACTCTAGGATCAAATCCAAGTCGGTTTCAAACCAAACATGTATGAAACATTGTGTAAGTTGTCCTGACATTGTTTTGAATTCATTCCAATGACATCAGGCCACCCAGGCCACCTTTGCCCTTTACACATGTTATTGTCTATTTCTGGTTGAGTCTGACCAACTGCATGCAGGTAAATTACATTAAAATGACCTATTAATACATCTGTTGGTGGTCTTTAATATAAATGATAAATGGTGCTCGCTCTCTCTCTTTCGATAAGATAAATGGTTCCAATTGTTAGTATGTTGCTTAAGAAACTTGCATTATAATTTAACAGCTGTTTCTTGTGTCATGGATGTGTGTGGGTCACGTGACCTGAACTTCCAACTTTGGCCACTATGACAGAAATCATCAAACCCCTCTGTGGGAGCTTGTTTTAACCCAGAGGAAACTTTTCACACTAAATCCTTTTCACTAAATCCATACAAACACTTTTATTAATTAATTAACACATACCATAACTTATTTTTCTGCAAATGTTCTATATATCTACATACCCAAATACAACTTCTAAATACAGGCACATTTTGACCCTTCATCAAAGTTTATCTCTCACCGTAGTGTTTTCTCCAATAAGTTAGACACAGCATTGTGCAAATGTTGATGATATAATTTTCATTAAATATCTGTATACATCCATGATACACAGTACGCACACATAGCATTTTCCTGGAAAAAATACAGAATAGATATGAAGTGTGGTTGATCCGTGTATTTGGTTGTGGTATGTGTTGATTTACAATGTCTATACGGAGACAAGAAATCACATGAAAGGTTTCCTCCTTCTCTATATATCCTTCTCTATATATCCGTTATGAATAGGCAGGAAATATTTCAAATCTTTTTTGGGAGCGAGAACAGCGGTCAGATTGTTGATTTCTCACTTTGGAAAACAAACCGTCATTTCTATACAACATAATTCCAACTAGTCCTGAAGCGACAGCACAAATTGCTACTTCTGGCTCTTCTCTGTCTCACACAGACGCAGGCCAATTCCCACACCTTTGCCTTTCTAAAAAAACAGACATGAAAATTTATCTTCCCTCTGGCTTACTATCAAGCTGCCAGTACTACATTTGATTCCGAAGAGATTTTACCCAACTGCTCACTATAACCAACGAGGAAAATTCAAGCTGAGAAGCATTAAAAAACAACAACATCAAATTAGTCATCATCTCCCGGTGAATACAATCATAGAGTGAAAATAGATGTGTTAACTACAGTGGACGTGGGGTGGTGTTTGGCAGAGGGAGGTGTAAATGATGATAGAGGCTTTCCTGAGATCAAATACCCCACAGAGTGATAAATAGAGGGGGAGAGGTGACCGGCTGTCTCTTCTTTCTCCTCCCAGGTTAGTTTTGAACCTTCTTCACTATGTTTCTCTTTTTGTCTTTCATTTGGCAACAAGAGGGAAGAGAGAAGACAGAAGTTGCCACCTGGGAGTCCTTCATCTCTCTCTCTTTCTGTCAGTCTTGGCACTTACTTGTTCTTTCTCTTTCCTTCTTCTGGTTTATCTTTTTCAGTTATTCCCTCTTTTCTCTTAATTTATCATTTCCACTTCTTCTGTCTTATTCTACCCCCAACTTTCCACTTCTCACTTTCCTCACCCCTGTCTCTTATTTTCACTCTTTCTCATCTTTGGTCTCCTCCTGTCTGGTTTGGTCTTCGTTCTCTGCCCTTTCTTCCTTCTTTATCTTCATTCTCCAAATTCTTTTCTTCTTTTATCTTCCACTCTTTTTTGTTTCCTCCAACTGTTTTTCATTTCTTCCACCATCCATGCACCCCTCTTCTACATTTTGAGTTTTAAGGATTTTCCACTTTCAGCCTTTAACACCCTAACTGGTCTGTAATTGGTCCTGGTGTAAAACTCTCCACTGGAAGATTTTATAAGCAAACACACTCTGAGCTGACTGATCTGCAGCCAAAAGAAATATTTCCAGAGTAGATTTTTATGCAGCTCCAATTCCAGGATATATGGTTCAGGGCTTTGTTCAGAGTATGGCTCCTCAAGAAATAAAATAGGAAAACATTGATCACTGCTTTGTACTGAGACACTCTCCAGACATGCAACAGGACTCTGGAAGAAAATCTAGTACTCTACTGTTCCTATGAAGTTTGCAAGCAAAAGGCACTTATTTGTATATTGGCTACACACAATACAGCCAGTTTGCATGATAAACTTGCAAACTGTGTTTGCTCCCTGTCATAACTTGTGGTCCTCTCTATCTGTCATGGATCTCATTGAACAGACAGTGCTAGTATATTCACATTGTGAATGAAACGGAACTTGATTGCATTTGACAGATGTTTGACAGTTTTGAAAACACACCAAATTTGGAAAATATCTACTTCATGTTTATCATTTTGTATGTCAAATTAAACAGTGCAATTCTGTTTTGTTTTTGTTTTTGCTTTTTTATAAAATCTGAAATGCTCAAGTATTTGTCTTGATTACTTACAGGTCAAAGAAGTTCCTGCATGGTTTGTGGTAGGCAATATGTTGAAGTCTTGTTTTATTATTATATATTATATTAAGTTGTGCTTTAAATTATTCTGTGAGAATTTGATACTTTTATCATTCTGCACCACATTCACTTTAATTACCTTGCCACATGATGGAATATATTTACGGAGACAGACACTTGATGGTTATTGGCTCCTCCCAGCTGCTTTAAATTAATATGCACCAGTAAGCAGAGCTTATTAGAAACCTTCAGAAATGTTCCCTTTATTGTTTCCTAAATGATCAAGATTCGACCCAGCGCCATCCTCGAGTTTAATCTGCTCAGTAGCATTGAAACTGTCCTTCTTTATCAGCAATTAAGTCATCAGATAAATGAGGCGTGAAAACTCCAGTCTTGATAATGATTCACTGCTAAATAGTCTGATACCGTCTGGAAAACACGCTCAGCATTCTTTTTAAAACTTGTGGGGTGAATCATTTTTCAGCTCTGATCTACTGCTTTGGCAGAAGTATTGATTACCAATACTGTCAGGCAGCAGTGGGGTTGAAGTGAATTCTTACCATGGTCGTTTCCTGAATGGAGCCAAAACTGTTGATGAAAATGTTCACTCTGTCTTCCACAGGAATTCCTGGATTTAAAAACAAGAAGACATAGTAGCATTGACTTCATTGTGTTTTACAGCTTCTTTGCAATGAGAGTGAGGTACCGCTGTACTTGTATGTTACAATAAGTGTCAGTTTGCTTTGTAAAACCCTATAAGTCTTTATTCTACATAGACTTATTGTACCTGGTGATTAAAGTGATTATGTTGCTGATCAGGATTTGTAAAAGACTTTATCAATATTACTAAGTAATAAAGTTCCCCTCTCATTCCTTAATACATTGTAAACTGTCAAGTAGGTTGAGATCCCAGCGCTCTAACAAATCATGCCTCATGGGACTGTACTTTCCAATTGTATATCACAAATGAGTAGAAATGACTGTGGTAATTAAAATAATTGTGTAAAAGTATAGAAAGTGACACGTTAAAAGTAACAAAAATGATGAAATTACCTAATGAATGATTAATATTAACCATGAACCTCGTATAAATACACTTTAGTCACCATTTACAATTAGTGATATAAAATGGAATAATAGCTTATAGGCATGTCTTTGTTTGCTTTAAGTAAAGTGTTAAAATATCTATCCCTGTATAATATATTACAGGTGGACATAATACCATATGAAGTAATTATAAGACCATATAACATGTAATCGTTTGCTTTAAGTAAAGTGCCACACATTTTGCGCAGGAAAACAACTTTTATTTATGTTTCTTCAGTTTATGAACAATCTGTATGAATTTTGAACATTTTGCAATTTAGCACAAAAACACAACTTAATTACATCCAGAAAACTCGTTGTCAGGGTAGTAAAAGATCGCTCAAGAGAAGACCTGTTGCAGACCAACATCATGTAAGAAGATGCTCAGATGTTGTCACAGATGAATGGCGAGCCTATGGACAGGCCCTAACAGATGCAGTGGACAATTAAAGACAACCACTTCACAAAACGTAGCCTATTAAAAGACATTTTAAAGTAATTGAATGGGAATACTGTGAGCTAGCGCTTACTGCCTTCACTTTTCTGACACACTGTGACCTACACCGCACATGTTCTGCCAGACTGACAACGTACGAAGTAACTTAAATATTTTCCTCCCCTAACTTTCACCTTCACATTCTGCTGCTCGCTCTCTCTCATTCATAATCAATTCAGAATCTTCCACGTCCGCATCGCAAAGAAGTAAACTATACTGTACTATACTATAATGTTCAAGGAACGCAAATGGCGGAACCTTCAGAACTGCGGAAGTGCAGCGCCCGGACAGTCGCAGGTATGCACATAACAGAGACCCGTGATCTCTGGTCTGAGACCAGTGTTGTGTTCGACGCATTTCGCCGCTGCTGAATAAAATTTCACACGGTCATCAATATGACCTGCACACCGTGCAGCAACACTCATCGCTGTTTTGGTTCCTGTTATATATATAAAGTTACTTAGTAAGTTGTCCGTCAGGCAGAACATGTGCAGTCTAGGTCACAGTGTGTCCGTTAAGTCTGTTGTTTCCGCAACTGCTGGAAAAGTGAAGGCGGTTAGCGCTAGTGTGCAATGTAACGTTAGCTAAATTAGTAACGGAGTAATGTTAATTAGTTGCGTGTCATTACTACCTAACTTATTGAGGAATGAGAACAGCAGGTTGAAGCTAAACTGATGTCCTGTACACATACTGCACATCCTGATAGTTCAGTTAATTTATATTTCAGTGTCCAGGGGAGTCTGACAACTGATAGTTAAAGGAAGGACGCTGGTGACCAGGAGGAGCTGAGGCTACTAAAGTAAATCAGGGATGTAAACTAGTACTTTTAAGCAATTGAGGAGATATTTATTTTGGATTTTAATGTGTAAACGAAATGCTTAGTAATTATCCAGAATTTACACATACAAAAAAATGCATGAAGATGGATCGCTGCCCTCTGAATTGTAATCAAATCGAATCGTGAGGTGCCAAGAGATTCTCATCCCTACTGCCCAAACAGTATTCCCATTCAATTACTTTAAAATGTCTTTTAATATGCTACGTTTTGTGAAGTGGTTGTCTTTAATTGTCCACTGCATCTGTTAGGGCCTGTCCATAGGGTCGCCATTCATCTGTGACAACATCTGAGCCTCTTCTTACATGATGTTATATAGTCGGCAACAGGTCTTCTCTTGAGCGATCTCTCACCACCCTGAGAGTGTCCTTGATGTAATTATGTTGTGTTTTTGTGCTAAATTGCAAAATGTTCGAAATTCATACAGATTCATGAAGTGAAGAAACATAAATAATAGTTGTTTTCCTGCGTGTGTGTCACTTTACTTAAAGCAAACAATTACGTGTTATAAGGTCTTATAATTAGTTCATATGATATTATGTCCACCTGTAATATATTATACAGGGATAGATATTTTAACACTTTACTTAAAGCAAACAAAGACATGCTATATAACTTTAAACATTACTATAAGCTATTATTCCATTTTATATCACTAATTGTAAATGGTGACTGTATTCATAACGAGGCAGAGTCGGTGGTTATAATGTGTTATGGAACATGGTCGGACATTCTTGCCGCACATTGATATAAACAGGTATTAGTATTAGTTATAAAACATTAAATCAAAAGGTCATAAATACGTTATGAACTTTGTTATAGCGCCTAATGCATGTTTGTAAGTGATTATAACAACTGTTATAATGTGTTATGGACGCATTATATCATGTTATAAATATATGCATAAGTCATTATAGCGATGACCTTCATAGAAAGTGTTACCATAAAATCCATGAAAAACACAGACTGCTCCTCCTGCTTTGAGTACATTATTTCTTTTGAGGTATTTACTGGAGGCTCAGGAGTTTCATGGGATGAATTCTATCAAGCAATTCACAAAATCAATGTGCATAATGTGGATGTGGCATATAACTCAAATCTTCCATGCATTAATGCAACCAAGCAAACTAATTCATATTCAAGAAACACTTCTTGTGTTTGTTTAATATTATATTTATATGAGCCTGGGCAAAGTCATGCACAAGGCACAGTTTAGGATGTAATTTGGGAGATTACGACATGGATGTTAATGGACACGGAGCTTTCAGCCCACCCTTAAATCAAGAGCAGATGGTTCACCACTGGACCAGTCAAAGAGGGAGCGGATTCTGCTCACAACACATCAAACATTGTGTCCCAGACACAGCTCCTGCTGCCAAGTGCTGGAGGATGGAAACTAACCGAGGATCTACCTGAAGACTATTAAGACCATCAGTCAGACGTAGAGGTTGCCAAGCACCTCTTTGTTATTTTTATGGCTGTCTCTGTGAGAGTGGTACTCCCTTACAGTGTGCCATTTACAGTACACTTTAAACACTGTTAAGATGGATTGGTGGTGGACAGAATGAAAAAAACAAGAGCAGACTTTAGAGGCACAGATTTCCTTTTTTGTTACTGTAGAATTGTAATGTTTATTTAATCTCAAGTAATATGGTTAATAGAATATGAAATAACAGCAGTTACACCAAAAAGTAAAATATAATGTACAAAAATTACAGTATGTATGAGGTACGTATTCATAGTACACTTGTGTTTTTTATTTAGCATGAGAGCACTGCAGCAAAAATGTATATTAAAAATAGACGGAAACAAATGAAGAGGACAAGAGACTTGCCTTTGAAGTTGGGCCTTATTCTGGGATCATAGGTGATCAGTAACCTGTTCAAGATGTTACTGGTTGAATTCGCAGGGACTCGGGCCAGATCCTCAGATGACAGCTGTCTGCAAAAGAAAAAGAGAGGGAACTGTAGGCACGATTATAATAGCAGGTCAAATTCCTGGCAGATGAGGAGTGCATATGCACAGTACACCCACATCTACTCTGTATATTCTTTGATTAAACTATAATCTGAGACAGCAGTTAGGTCAGTTAGCAATTAAACTAGCTTTTAACATTTGGGCCACGCAGGAAATGTTAAAAGTGAAGGAATGTTAAGAAATTAGATGCATATCCGAAATGTTTCCTGATCATTACTGGAGAAGACATGATCCCTCAGGCAGATAAGACAATTATGTAATAGTAGATGACTAAAAATCAGTACAAATGTATTATGTCACTAAGGTTCATATTTCTAACAAAACTAAGAAGTCTACAGTCATGCTCATGAGCCTCTGTGAGGCTGTACTTATGTATAGCCTTGCTTTGAGCTAAATGCTGCAAGCTGAAACGCTCACAGTGACAATGCTGCTGATGTTTAATAGGTAATGTTTATCATTTTTATCATCTTAGTGTGTTATCATGCTAACTCTCGCTAATTAGCACTAAACAGAGTACAGCTGAGGCTACATTGTCAAGGTTTTTGGTTTGCATTTGAAGATACAGGGGACAAATGCTTGAAACACATTCATTACCAAATTCCCTGATTTATTTTTAGTTGCCCTGAGAAAAAATATTTTAATAAATTTAGCCAATTAAGTAGCCATGTTGGTGGCAAAGAGTATCAGTGGCTTGTATATATCTTTTTTTTGCCATGTATTTCCACATTTTATTGAACCCAAAGTGAAATTGTCTCTTTGAACCATCCTGAAAAAAAGAATAAAACATCTGTCTAATCATAATTACCACCATAAGCATACCTTTCAAAGAAATGCAGCCAAACATCATTTGTTTTTTTGAGGTTGACTGATGAAAAGACAATGGGACAGAAAGTTCAAAAAAGGAGAACCAGATCTGGCAGGAGAGAAAGGGGAAACAGAAAGCCTCCTTGTGGGTGGCAATGAATTCTCCTGCCAAAGAATTTCCCCTTTTCAAAGCACTTTGCATATCATTATGTAAACCTTATCATGCACTGAGGATGAGTTAAAGTGCTCCACAGGAATGCTGTGCAGTGTGTGTATGTTCTGCGGTTCCTCTGATCAAAGTGAAAGACATAATTCCCATCCACTAAACCTCTTTTTTTCTCTCTTTTAACAGACCCCTCTGACAACCTCAAGCACAACAGCTAAACTGGAACCAAGTGGTTCCCCTGATCCACAAAGGCATCCGCAGCACTTAACATGAAATATGTCATACAGCTTACACTTGCCAATACTGGGACTACATCAAACGGTTTCTCCCTCATTCCGTGATGTTTCATTGTCGAGCCATTTGTTACCATTTAAGGAAGTAGAGGGTGCAGCTCTCCACTGCATAGATACAATGGACAGTCCAAATGTATGTTAGGATATATTTATGTTCATTCTGTTATGAGGCATTGAATTTACCTTTTTAGTTTATCCAATACCTGACAACCTCCCGAATTTATCTAGCACTTCCTTACACAATATGAGTAAATCAGCTGGGCCTGATATCATCTCTGGCCGTGTACTAAAAACCTGTGCCAATCAGCTAGTTGATGTTATTACCGACATTTTCAACATCTCACTTTCCATGAGAGTGTTCCCAACTGCTTCAAGTCAGCCACACAGCATCCCTGTACCAAAAAATTATACAGTGTCTAGTCTGAACGACTTCCACCCCGTGGCACTCAACACCATTCTAAAGAAGTGCTTTGAGAAACTGGTTCTTCAGCACATTCTTTCAGAACCAACTTATCCACAGAGGATGTCATATCTACTGCCCTCCACTCAGCCCTCACAGAAAACAACACCTACAATACAATCTCCCCTATGAAACTTATTGGCAAAATTAACACTCTGAGTTTATGTATCACACTCTGCAACTGAATATTGGACTTCCTCACAAACGGACCCCAGATAGTTCGGATTGGCGGTCACACCTCCACCACTCTAGTGCTCAACACCACAGCCCCCCAGGGCTGTGTGATCAGCCCCCTCATGTTCACGCTGTACACCCACGACTGTATCACCCGACACAGTGAGAACTCAGTTGTGAAGTTTGCAGACGACAACCCCATCATCTTCCAGATTTCAGACAATGATGAGACTTCATATTGGGAGGAAATCAATAATCTTGCTGAGTGGTGCACAGAGAACAACCTACTGCTCAACGTCAGCGAAACTAATGAGCTGATTGTTGATTTTAGCAAAAAGGAGACAATGACACACACTCCTGTCTACATTAGTGGAGTTGAGGTGGAGCAAGAGAAAAATTTTAGTTTCCTGGGAATCAGCATCACAGAGAACCTGACATGGTCATCTCACATCTCCACGCTGATGAAGAAAGCTTAGAAACAGCAATATTTCTTAAGGAAACTTAAGAACGCTAAATGTGCCAAATTCTTATTAACTTTTACAGAGGAGCAACAGAAAGCATCCTGACTGGAAACATCACCAACTGGCATGGGACGTGCAAAGCCCAGGACTGGAGGGCTCTGCAGCGGGTGATTAAAAACACTCAGAAGATCATTGGTACCCATCTACCGAGCATCAGTGATATCGGTGAGCTGAGGTGTCTGAGCAGAGCCCAAAGGATACTAAAAGACAGCATTTACCCCAGCTACAGCCTGTTCACCCTGTTGCTGTGTGGCAAGAGATACAGAGGTGTCCGCTGTTACACCACCAGACTGCAGGGCAGTTTTTTTCTCCTAAGTTATGAGACTCTTAAATTAAAATTCAAATGCATCCTCAGCACTGCTCCATACAATATAGCACAAAAACTGTGACTTTTTTTTAACATGTTACATTACAAGTATTCAGTATTTTTAACAAAACATGCTTTTGGTGGATTTGGTGTTGATTTCTTAGATGCCCATTAAAGATTCAAATCAGACCTGAGTAGCTCTGCAGTGAAGCAGCTCACGAGAAACCAAAAGATCCAAAAGTAGATCCATCAGATGTAAAATAGTTATCCTTTAACATAATGCTTAACTATCAATGGTGGGGCACCATTAATGGGGAACTCCACCAATTTCACAGAAGTGCACCTCTAATTTGCTGAGGTACCCTTTTAAACAAGTTAAGTCATGCAAGGAATTTTGAGAAAACCAGTAATGTATTTCAATTATTTACATATTCTTTTGAGCTGATGGTCACTGTGAAGTTAAATTAACTCATAGCATTATCATGTTTTGTCATCACTGCACTTGCAGCAGTATTTGCAGTAAATGCTACATGAAGTACATGTTAAATTTTATATGCCAGCTCAAGGTGTTGTTTATTCCATACTTACGATGGACAGTAAACCTGTTTCCCTTTTTTCTTTCCCTTCTTTGTTCCTTTTTCTTTGGCAGATCCTCCCTCTAGACAAAGACAGAGGACCAGGAGAAAGATGGCAAGCTTCTTAATACCCATTCTGGGGTCCGTTGAGACTGTGGAGGAATAAAAAAAACTTTAAACATTCAACAAATCTCAGCATTAATTTTCACGTGACAGAAAACTTAAAGGTTAAAGGTATTTAGGAGGATCTTTTGACAGAAATGCAATATAATATACATAACTATGATTTAAGTGGTGTATAAAGACCTTACATAATGAACAGTTATGTTTTTATTACCTTAGAATGAGCCATTTCTATCTACATACAACATGGGTCCCTTACATGGACATCGCCATGTTGCACTGCCTAAACAGACAAACTACCCTACAGAGTGTGTTTCGTCACTACGTTGACTACGCACAAAAAAACAAGCAGAAGTTGTAGTAGTAGTAGTAGTCGTCTGGTTTATTAGAAGTAAGAAGAGAAGGGAAATTTGGACAAATAGAGGACCGCACGTATCATTTAGCACAAGAGCAGACAGAGCATGACAGCCAACATGGCTTCTCCTCTGCAAGACACAAATAATAAAAACTTTGCCAGGGTTAGTCTACATTATATAAAGATGTTAAAAGAAGACTATATGTTGACAGTTTTCACAGCCTTTTTTGTTGTTGGATTTAGAAAATAAATTGATATAATGCACAATCTCATGGAGAAAAAGTACAAAGTTGGGCTTTTTACTGTTGAATTTACAATTGCCATTAGAATTAATACATTTATTATAAAGTACTTATTTCGTCCGAGGAGCAAGTGAATGCACAGTTAGCCATTAGTTGCAATTGGCAACCCTGACCACTAGATGTCACTAAAACATACACACTGAACCTTTAAGCTTTGTCCTCAGTGGGACTATAAAACGTGTACGAGTAACGAGTACTTTATCTATTTCCTGAAAACTGACTTTGCCCATTGCTTTGCGGACGTAATGCATTTCCATTTTCTCTGAATGCATGTCACATACAGTAAATGTCTGTAATGTAAATTAATCAGTGTGACATGGTTTAATCAAGTAGTGCAAGTTCAAGCATAAATTCAATCAGTGGAGTAATGCACCTGAATAACGATGGTCATTCAGGATTCGTCGACTGTGACCTCTAAAGGATAGCTGAAATAAGCATTACCTGTAATATCCTCTGCTTCAGTCTAGAACCTGCAGAGAAAATGCTTAACAATATAGTTTCTGGATGTAGCTGTAAATTTTTTTTATCACCACAGTTGTTTATTATTCATAAACTATATCATTTGGTTTGATCTATGATAGCTGTGGTGTTATGGTTCAATCCTTTCTCACACCACAAACACTGAAGGAGATAGGAGATAAAATGTGTTTTTACCAAAAGTCTCTTTATTTAATAAGTCCAAAGCTAGGTCTAACAGTAACACAGCTGTATACACATATGAACCCTTCTGTGAATAGGCAGTGCATTTTTGCATTTCTTGTAGGGGCCATAAATCAGCTAGCAGCCACAGTACCTGTGTGATTCATTCCTAATGTAGGAAACCGGTGCCCTTTCAGTACATAGGGACACCGAGACCAACAGGAAAGCCAACAGCACCCCCCCACACACCTCCCCGCGCCAGCAAGACTGCACATTAACTGAAGCAGTTTATTGTCTAGACAGGGACACTATCTCTCTCTCTTTCTCAGTGCCTTTGCCCAGTAACTCCCTGACTGCTCCTCATCCGCACATTGATCATCATATTCTCCAGCTCCACTCAGCGCCCTTTGTCTCCATGCAAACACCAAAGCTTAAGTCAACCTTGTTTTATTGATTTGGAAGATTCCTGCAGTGGAAGGTTTGTTGCTGCTCGCATTGTGGAGGAGAAAATGGCCAACATGCTTCAACACTGACACAAACATATCAGATTGCAGCAGCTGAATTTATTTTGAATGCTTAACTTGGCAACCAACTACAGTTCTTAGGAAACATTTCTTACGTGACCCACATTCCCTATGTCCCCTTCCCCTGCATTTCTCTACAGGATCATGGGCGTCAGCATCAGACTTTGGGAGCTTTAGCCGGGAATGTTTGTTGACTAACCCCGAATCTCTTTGAGAGAAAAAAAAAAATCTATAATCATCACAAAATGTTAATAATTTAAATCCCGACCTCCAAGCCTTGCTGCTGCCTGTGTGTGGATGTAGAGAGACTGGGGGAGTGGGTGGGGCTGGTTAATGTCCTCTTATATACAAGCTCAGTCAGTCCATCTGCAGCCCCCTTTTGACATGGATGCACGGCCTGCAATGCTGTCTTCTGCTCGGCTGTCATCCTCACACAGCAGCAGTAACAACACTACACCAAGGTAAGGTATAAACAAAAAGTCCCACTAGTGGCCACACTACCCCTAGATTTGCCCCTAGAAAAACACTAGAACTTGCACATGCAACAACACGGTCTTTATCTTCAACTTAAACCTCAACTTGAAAAATGTTTTACAGGATAGTTCCCGTCCCCCTCTCTCCAAATTTAGTTGCAGCAGTCGACCTAGGGAGAGAGACTTCTTCCTCAAGCTCATGATTTCAGAACCAATTTTTTATTGACATATGTACCTAGGCAAAACCTAATTACATGATATCTGCTGCTGGTGCATTTTGAGAGACTGTGACTAAGCTAACGTTACTAGTACATGTCAACAAAGTAATTAGGGTACTGTAACAGCATTGCCTGAATATATCTGATTGGGAACAATGTTTAAGGTAAATTATTTTGTTATGTGGATACAGATTACATGAGTAAAATGATATAGCATACTTGCCTAGGGAGTTGGTAACACAATTTTGGAAAAGGCGAAATGGTCAAACCACCTCATATATCCGGAATAGTGGTACAAATAATTTGTATTTTGTAAAATTTTAAAAGTTTTGAGTAATGAAGAGGTAAAACACTTTTCACAAGAAAAAAGCCTGGGGAAAGTGAGAAAAATCATCATAATTGTGTGCAGCGGAAATATTGTTTCTTCTCATTTCCTATCTTCTGAAACAACTTGTGACCCCTAAGATTTATCTTGCGAACCCTTGGAGGGTCCTGCATTATAGACACGATGCAGTTATAACTTTTAAAAATATTTTTTTCATTAAGAAAATATATATTGAAAAATATATTATTTACAATTAAACAAGTTGCACAATTTCTCTCCAATATACTATGCATTATTACCCAACCATTAGCCTTAATCGAGGTGTTATCAGAGGCTGTTTCTACTTGGCATGGTATATTGGAGCAGATTTGAGTGATCGTTGACCTATTAATTGATTCATACTAGTCTGCAGTGCACCTTGATGTGTGTACATTCTCAAAATTGTATAATATTTAAGAGATAACTAAGACATCATGCACACCAAAGATAAACTGACTCCTGTGCAGAGAAATGTGGGTTCAACTGTAAATTCACCTTGGCACTGCCTGAGTCAACTCTGTGCCACCACTGTAGAACATTACCCTTGCTGTGTTTTACTACTAGCAATGTTAAAACTGCAGATTCTTTGTCATGCAGTGGCTGACTCAAGCAGCCATACATGGTCTGCCCCATGGGTCCAAGGTCAATCAGCAATTCTGCTCTGCCAACAAAACTTCCTAGGCTGTGCATTTTTAGATTCTGGGCCATAAACATGCTGTTCTATGAAAAGGAATTCCTGTTAGAAGGTGAGAATATTTAGATAAATGAGTGGTATATTATTTATGAGCTATTGATGATAACAATAATACAATAACGATGTGATTTGGTGTGATTAATATTTATATTCACTATTTTTGTTTTAATAAGAGATATAATAGCATACAATGGACTATCCGGGTATCCTTTCATTATTTAACTGCAAAATGGTTTAACCCACGAGAGGCCTGTTATCTGCTTATCAAAATACTGATATGAAACCAACGCAACCGTAAATGAGGACTATAGGGGCACTCACAACCTGTGGCTGCACATCGCATTAACAAAAGAAAAGTAAGCAGAGGCTGACACTTGCCTAAAGTCTGAGCATCAGAAGAGCAGAGGGACTCGAGAGAGAGCACAGCAAACAGCGACCACCATGACGGGGGGATGCAGGAAGAAGATGCCAATACATGTGAACGCGAGCATGCGATTGCACTTAACATGAGCGCACGTTAGGAACATAAATAACACGGAAGTCATTTATCACAAAACATGTCAGACAGTCCCACTTACCGTTTGGCGTTGACACCTGTCAATTCCTTAGAAAAGTAGACCTAGGAAAGCTGAAAGTACAAGTAGTCGTTAACAGATCCTTCCAGAGCAGTCACGGTCTTTCTTTTCCATTCTGTTCTCCGTGCTCTTCACTGAAGCAATTTGTTGAATGGGATTAAGAAAAAAAAGTTACATCTCGGCAAATTGCCAAAAAAAAATTTATTGCCGCGCCCGGTTTGTTGTTATTTTGGAATGAGTGTGTTTATGGCTGTAGCCCTTTCGCCTGAGCTCGGGATGCCCAAGATGGAGGCTTGCGTGTACCTGACATGCAACATGCGCAGTAGCGGCTGCACAGAGCTGGAGAGCGTCAGTCCTCCCATCAGCACCACGGACAGCCGCTCTCCGCCTCCCCATCCACAACCGCTGCTAAACGCTGAAACGTGACGTGACGGCAGGAAAAAGAAATGATCTCATTCACGTGATGGGCGCAAACTATTTATGGCAGTGTCTGTGTATTATTTAGCGGCAGATGGACGTGAATGGTGAGGGCTGATAAACCATAAAGTAGAGACCCTCGGCAAATTATGGATGCAGTTCAGGCTCATATGGGCTGAAGCTTTCCATTGGTGTTTATTGATGTGAATTATGTGGTTTTCAAAGACCAGATTAGGCTTTATATACATTAATGTATTAAATTTCAATGAGCATTATAGGGGGTTTTTTATGTATAAATGCGAAATGAATGAGTAAATTACTGAGAAAAAAGAAGTAATAAAGTCATACATCAAGTACATTTGTATATATGACAACTGAAATTATAGACCTATTTTGATGATGTGATCTAAACAAACTTAAATATAATTTAATATAAAAGAAAACATTAGAGAAAACTCTCACCACAAGGTCTTGCTGTTACATGATCTTTCAAACTTATCACAAGATCTTCATTATCAGATTTGGATTAAAGTCATTCATCTGCTCAGAATTTATTTAAATTGTCCATCTACAATTCCATGACAACTGGGCAAACTACATCTGCTGATAAGATAACGTGAGGCCAATCCTTTAGCTGTTAGCCTGTCTGTTTAAATACATCATTGCCATTTGTTTTTCATTTCGGTGGTTGATGACATTCTTGTTTAGGCCTACATCTGGCTTGTGCTTGTATGTGAACAAATGAATTGAAGAACAGATAACTATGAATGGCTCATATCAGAATGTTTTTGGGGGAAAGACCAAATAGTTGCAAGATCATCAACTACTATCACTTTATATGGTCACAACATTCATTTTATATACTGTTTTAAAGGAATTTTATGCAGCATGTATAGGACTTTTATGTGACACATGATTGATGTTTCTCTTTAGTGCAAACTATTCTGTTTGGAGCTGAACTTTCTGCTTCTAGGAATTGGAAGCTGAGAAGCCCAACTAACCAAAACAGTAGAATTCTCCTCATCCACAACATGTGTGTACAGGAATGTGTGTATTAGGCTTAGATAAGCCACATACTGCAGGATTGTCCTGCCTGCTACCTCACCTAAAGGAATAATATTTTCAAAACGAAGGTTGCATCACAACATGGTAGAGGAAAACTTAGGGGCAACAAATCATAACGGAGAAGCACTGAATGCGTAAACATATGTTTTTTAGCATATAACAGCTATCATCAGCCATTTATTATGAGTGAATAAGGTCTAAATGGCTGGTATAACTAGTCTATTGTAATGACATCTGAGTAAGTCTTTATTTTGATCACAAATAGAATTGATTATCTTAGCAATGACTGAATTTTTTTAGGTACTTGGGTTTTGCATGCTACAAATAGAATTTCCTCTACAGATTTGGTATTCATTTCTATAAACCACAACATGCATACATTATTTGTGGTGGTTACAACTTAGCTGAAACACATGTACAGGATCCTGAACTTTTGTTCTTTCAGTGAAAATAAAATCCATCACAGGATGCAACTGAGCTGATTTTTCCCACAATTTTGATCCATATCTCATTCATCACTTTATGTCAAACAACTTGGGAGGCCCTTCCACATTGATCCCAGTAGGGTAATTTTGACTGACAAGGCATTCCATTTGCATACACAAATTAATCAGCACCATATGCATAGAGATTAATGATTTATGTCACAGGGCATGGTTCTGGTGTTACAGTCAAGAGGCTTGCAATCGAGCACAAGGATCCTTTTGTGTTGACAAAAACGTTCACTGGCTGGCTCCGAGCCATGTGTCTGATGGACAACCATGAGCCATTCCAGAAATATGTTAGGCTGGATTGAACCAATCTATTGTGCTATTATACCCGGCATGCAGACCAAAATTCTATTACTGTAGCTCAGAAGACTTACACGTGTTGTCACATTCTTATCCGATGAAAATAGAGCTTTTGACAGAGGAAGAAACCGGTTGCTACTAAACATCTTCTTCTCAATGTGCTGCTTAGTAACATGTTTGTTTTCAATTCAGAAGTGATGGCTAGTTCTTTAGCTGAACCCAGTGAAGCTTCATGGACACAGTTTTATAGGTGACAAGATAAATGGCTTTGTTGAGGAAGAAGCAAAGTGAATGTGATTTGAAAATCATGAAGGATGAAGATAAAACAAAGGGCAGCAGGACCTATGGGATATGAATATTTTCAACTATATGTGTGCAAACTGAATTTGATGTTGATGGAATTAAGGTAGCTTTGATTAATGGTAACATATAAATAAGAGGGAGATATAAATCATACATCTCCACTTATCATTTAGTGACTGTAAATATATTTGATCTTGGGATCTGACGTGTATTCTTCAAGGGGAATTTCACAATAAACTTCTTTTCTTTGCCAGGACATTATTAAAAGATCTTTTTTTTTTTCTTTTAACCTCTGCACAAGCACACCTTCTGTGTGCATGTTCTTTCTTTTTTATGTCCTGATCCTGGCCTCTTCTGAAAGGGAACTCTTTGACATATACTACATTTACATCAACAGTAAAATAAGTGATAGTGAAGTACACCCATTTTCCCTATTTAAAGCAATGCAGTTACTTTCTTTTCGTTTTGCTTTGTTTTTACTCCTGTTAGAAAATACACTGTTGTTGTTGTTTGGTCTTAAAACAGTTTACAGTCATAGAATCATGAGATTATGATCTTTCATATGATGTATCATTTGTTGCTTGCCATCCCCAAATATAAGAACAACTAGCACTGCTTCTTTTATTTTTCTGTTTTAAAATGTGCACAAATAATTTTTATTAAACCTTTATTTAACCTAATAAAGAAATGGATTATGTTGGTTACAGCAGCACAGGCAGTTTGACAGAAAATTTACATGTTCAGGTATCAGCATCTTCCTTGTTGCTGAGTTGTCCCTTTAGTTATTGATTAATCTCTTTCCCCTCTCCATGGCACTTTCCCCATCTGACCTGTATCAAAACATGTATGAACCCAAATCAACCCACATTATACAGTACATGCTAGAACTGAAGCACTTGGATAGACAGATTTGTAACATCTTTAAACAACACAAACCTGCACATATTCAGTATGCATACTTGGTAAATTTAATAGGTATGGCCAAATTAATAGTTGCAGGCTTGCAGATGTGCTCTAGTACAATACTGTAATGATGACGTTTGGCAGTGTAGTAGATCTGACCCCTGATCATTAAATAAGCAGATTGCCATAATGGAAATGGATTCTTTCTCATCAGCAGATGTTTAGTAAGTGCAACACCAACCAAGATTGTGATGGAGGCATCAAGCCAGGAAGCTGCTCAGTAGGATATTTGGACTCCTCCTCCTCAAGGAGCAAGATCTTCTTTCCAAGATGAAATGTCTAACATTTTTTTAAAAATGTTGCACTGAATGAAAATATAACATTGTTTGTTTTAATGTATAGTTTACTAACAGTGGTTTGCTTGCAAGATGACAGTTCTGTCACAATATTCCTTATTCTTGTAATATTCCTCTCTTCATTTACCTGCATACTAACTCTCCTATCATTACAGATCCTACCACTCCCTCCTGGCCTGCAACCCCACAGTTCTCGCCAGTCCCCGTCACCCTACTGCCCCACCCACCTGCTCACCTGTTCCCACTCATTCTCTCATTATCCCTTCAGTTTATATACAGGCACATTTCCATCTGTTACCTGTCTGACTGTCTTATGTGTTCCTTATTAAGTGTTCTGTTACCTGTCTTCATGATCTTCTGCCTGTACCTCAGACTTTTTCCTTTTTGCCTCCCCCTTGTCTGGTCAAGTTTGCCTTTCTTTGCTTGCCTGCCTGATTACCTGACTCCTATTATATTTATCTTCTAAATTAACTTGGACTCTGGGTCAAAATGTACATTCACTGAGTCATTAGATGCTTCTCTGTTTATGTGATCATCTAAATTCCTGAAAAATTTAACACCACTTGAAATGAGATTTTATATTATTATTATAATATTTATATTACACACCACACACAACATGATAAAACTCATAAGTTCATATGAGGGAGCTTGTTTTCATCATAGCTTGTACTATCACACTGTGAACTTCCCCCATAATTTTCAGACCATCCAAGACAAATAACAAATAGAGTCAGACAGCATCGTGAAAGTAGCAAGTGAATTTAAATTGAATTCAGTTAAGGCTCTGCTGTGAAACACTGACTGCAGACATATGTAATGGATAAATGTATCAGACAAGAATATTTTGGTGTAATTAATGGGTAGAGCACAGCACTAACAGGCTACAGAAAGAACTGTTTTGCAATACCTGTACTTTATTAACATAGCTGTCCCAGAGTGAAGACTCTACCACATGAAATGTATTATATCTTGTACAGGAATGATTTGACCTGTGAGAATAAGTTTGGAATTTAATATCTTGCAGTAAACACTTAAAGACTCAATTAACTACCCGAATGGTACGTGGTGTGGACTTGACTTAAGCATTTCCATTTTATGCCACTGTATAATTCTACCCAGCACATTTCAAAGAGAATTCCAGAAAAAATTCCAGAAAAATTATGCTTTTTACCCCATTACATTAGTTACTTTGCAGATTGTGATTTTATATACCACACATATGATCAGATGATCAAATATGATGCAATGCCCTTGATTAAACAAGTCAACAATACACAAGTACTTACTGTACAATTGACTCAATCCCCTAAAACAGCAAATAGCTGATTACATGTTCATCAGCACTAATAAACTGTACATATATTAATTACACTCTTAAAGGTGGCAATATACATATTGGGAACTTTTTCTTTTACTCTAATTTGCTGATAATACTGCTGTACTTTTATTTGAGTAAAATTTTGTTGTATTGCTACTGTTATTTAAAAATGAAAGATTTCACCACTGCAAAGAGTTTTTTGGATTGTTGTTAGTGGAGTTAATGTATT